TGCTGCAAGTCTCCTTCCCACCCAGTTTAAGCCTCTGGTCACCATGACCTGTTCTCACTCACTAGCAGCTATCAAACTCCTATCCTGGATCTGGCCCAGCTGGGGTCTCAGGCATAAGACCCAGTCCATGCCCTACAGGAACACCCATTCTGGAGGGAGAGGGTAGCAAGAGGAGGCTGGCCCACTGGCATCCTCTGGCCTGAAGATGATGGTGTGCAGGAGCATTCCATAGTTTGGAAGGAAGAACTGCAAACACCAGCAAAAGATGGGTTTCCTTCTTCCCTTCGACCCTTGGCCTGCCTAGAATGTATCTTCCAGTCTCTGCTGGGCAGCCCAGCCCCAGCACTTTGCTCTTGGTTATAAGGAAAGTCTGCCTGTGGGCTTGCAGCGTGGAGCTTGCTCAGGTTGGAGACACTCATGTGGCATTTAAAATCTAGATTAGCAGGAACCCTCGGGGTTGCTCATCCACCCTCCTATTTCATGGGTAGGGAAACTGACACTCTGGCAGTAGAGCAGGATGCCAGGCCTTTATCTCACTCTGGGTGCTATTCTAATTCCTTGGGCGGATCTCTCTGTCTCCCAGAGCTTAACTCTGAGCAATTGAAAGTCAAGAAAGGAGTTCTCTTAATTTGTGTTCCTCTCACAATAAGCATTAAAAAGCTTAAGGAAATGAAGGAAAGAAGGGATTAGTGAATGTCACTGATCCCAACAGCAACTGGGCCTCAGTTTCTCATTAGCAGAATTGCAAGGGGTGAGGAGATACTCCCAATCTCTAGCTGATTCTCAGTGCCTGAGAAGTGGTACAGTGTGCTCTCAATGCTCTGTCAGTTCAAGACGATCTTAGCTCATGGGATTTGAGAACAGGGAAGAGATATCTATCCATAGGGCAGGCTACCTGCTATGAAGTCTGCTGGTTTGACTGTGGTGGCTTCTCCACACAGAAGAACTGCCTCTTCCACCGCCAAGCCACCGTCTCTTTCCCAGGGCCTTGCTCTCAGCCAACTCCCTGGGAGGTCTTCCTGTATAGCTCTGAGTCCTTCACAGGAACCTGACATGAAGTAAGAAAAATATTTTAATTCGCTACCCGCCTGGGCAGGCGAGACCTCATCTCTACAATAAAATCAAAAAATTAGCCCGGCATGGTAGCGCGCACCTATAATTCCAGCTACTCTGAAGGCTGAGGCGGAAGGATCGCCTGAGCCCAGCAGGTCGAGGCTGCGGTGGCTGGGAGCGGCCACTGCACTCCAATCTGGGCGACAGAGTGAGACTCCAACTCAAAAAAAAAGAAAAAAGAAAAATATTTTTAAAAGGTTAAAGGTTGAATGAGCAAATGAGTGTGAGGGATCCAGAAGACCTTGACACCATAACCCAAAGGCAAGCACCTTAAAAGTGGAATTAGCAGTGCCTGTCAGCCCGAGTCCAAAAGTTGTTTGGTAGCAGGGCAGTGAGTGTGTGCTTCATGTCACCTGGCAATTCCAGAAACTCCAAAGAGCCAAGCAGAGAATGTATTGTTCACCATCATCTTTACCCTGAGACTTGGATATATTCCTTGGACCACACATAGGACAGTAACAACTCAGAGGACAAATGACTTATCTAGAGCCATGCAGCAAGAGAAGAGATTAAGCTTCAAGCCTGTCCTGGAGGTGACACCCCTGTCCTTCTCCAGAGGCACAGAAGGAGTTGGAGCTGGGGTTCACATCTCAATTCTGCTACCCAGAGCTGTGGGACCTTGAGTTTATTCTACCTGAATGTGTAGTTTCCTCATGCGTGACCTTGTGGGGCAGAGGTGAGGGTTAAACAAGGTAATGTCTGTAAAGTGTTTCATAAACCATCAACTCTACATGAATATTAACTGGAGAACCAAAAGATGATAAGAGCCAAAGTCATCCGTTGGTGTTACCATATTCTCAGTGCTAACCTGACTTCTTCCTCTCCAGGACAAGAGCAAAGCCACCAGAGGAACCCTCTCCAGAAGGCCTTGTCGCCCCAGACCTATTTCACTCCCTCCCAACCTGCCTGAGGAAGAAACCCGCAGGATTGCACGGATATTTTCTTCCCAGTACTCCAAGAAAGACTGAGCACTGAGAAGGGGCCACCTGCCCACTCTCCCCAAGTCTTGTCTGGCTTGCAGGAGGCAACAGGTCTGGCAGCCCCGAAGCCATCACTAGCCTAGTCCCTGGGTGCCTCAAGAGAACCAGTCAGGCCAGGCTGGAGGAGTGTCCCAAGCCAGCCCAGGACTTGAGCTTCTCTCTTCTATGCTGAGGCAAAGGCTACACACAAAATGGATTCTAGCACCCAAGGGGCCCATGCAGTCTTCTCTCAGTAGAGAAAATCCTCCCAGTGTCCTTGACACTGCTGATCTGAGCCCACGCTCTGCCTGAATATGAGGGGCCATTTTTGCCTTAAAGGTTAGGGAGGTGGTGTGTGCATTGTGCATCACCAAGGAAGTCCTGGGGCCACCTCCAGTTCATTTGTGTGGGAATAAGGGAATGTTATAGGTACAAATTATTTTTATGCTGTATTGAGTTAATCAATTGGGAGAGGAGGGGAAAATCACCTCCTTCAAACTTTTTATCTGATTGTCTGAAATTCTAACCATGCTTTTAACTTATTGTTTTTACCTGGCTCTGAAGGTCATTATTGTTCCCGCCTGTGTTTGAATAAAATCATATCGGTCTTTGTGATCTGTGCACAGTGTTTCCTGGGTTGGCTACTGGAGTGGGGTTGCTAGGAATTCATTTGTACTCTGACTGCCAGAGAGAAAGCTTGACAACCATTCAGTCCCTAGAGAAGCACATCTAGCACAAAGGACCAGGGTCACCATGAGACTTCTGAGCTCCCCGAAAGATCAGGTTGGTCCAATTACAGTGATGCTCAGTATTTTCTTTGCTGGTGCTTGCATCTATCAGCAAAGTGGAGTGGCCTCTGAAACAGCCCCCTCAGAATGCCCTTTGTCCCTGGGATAGGTAACTGAGACTGTCAGACCCCACACACGAGCAGCTGCCACAGACAAGGCCCTGAAGGGAGGGCAAGAAAGGGGCCGACTTGCAGAGTGTGCAGTGTGACTGGGAGCTAGGGCTGGCAGGGAGCTAACCTGGGGGCCCTGCTTTCACCCCAAGTGCATGCCATTTCACTCAGTCTCCAAAACAACTCTCTGGATATGAGGATGCCCCTTTTATAGTTTAACTGATGCTCAACAAAGTTAAGTGGTTTGGCTCTGTTTATGTGGTTAGGAAATGAGTCACCGCATAAGACATCCCCAGAGATGTCACTAGGCTACTGTACTCAGTGACCAAAACAAGGTGCAACCAGTGAGTGCTCTGAATTTGGGGATTTGTGGGGGAAGGCCACGTGGGCTGGAGCAGTCAGAGAAGACTTCCTAGAAGAGACAGATCTGGAGAGAACAGAATTGAACAGGCTGTGGACCAGGAGAGCCCCCTGAGCCACGTGCAGCTGGAGATGAGCAGAGACCAGTCTGGCCTTGCCTCAGCCTCTGTGCCCTCATCTGTAAGACAGAGATAACAACCCCAACTTCAGAGGGTTGTGATGAAGATAAATGAGACAACATTTGTGAAAGCACTTTGCCTACACTTGGCACATGGTGGAGATTTAGCAAATGTCAGCCCCCACCCACTCTCCTGAAGCTCCTGGAACAAACCAGTAAAGACGCAAGCACCAGTAACTTCGAAACAAGCAGAGCACACCCAGTCTCAGAGGGTGCAGAGTGGCACAAGGACCCCAGGGAGGGAGTGGTACCCTTATTGGTGATGTGCCCTCGGACCAGCCTTCCCCTTTCTGTTTCCCTTGGCTCCCTAAGCCTCAGCCTGGCAGCCCACCCCTTCCTCAGCACAAGGACGGAAGGGCAGAATCTGGTCCAAAGAGGACAGGTAAACCCAAGCTTTGCCCTTGAGTGTCTGTACTTATGACCTGCCCTACGACTGTGGCTCTGTGCCCAAATCCAGAAATGGCTTCTGCCCACTCCTCTGTCCTACCCAGTTAGCTCCCTTTCCTTCCTTCCCTTCTCCCTCTCCGCTGTCCTCCCTGTGCTCCCTCCCTACCCCCCATCACCTGAGTCCCAGATTCAGCTTTGCTGAACCTCAGTTCCCATGGATGGAACTTACAGTAGCTGCTGTGGGGCACCCTTCCCACCTGCCCCAGCTCCCTTTGGCTCCAGAAGTGTCCACTGTGAAGTGTCATGTCCCAAAGAAGTCACAGCAGATAGGCTCCAAATGAGTTATAGTTACAAACTGGAGGTCAGGCACTGCCATGTACTAATTTTATGACCTGCGTAAGTCACTGCCCTCCTAAGACTCATTTTTTTCCTCTGTAAAATAAATCATAGCATTTTCAGGTCCTCAGCAGTAAAAGGTAATGAAGTACTGATACATGCTACAACACGGATGAACTTTGAAAGCACTACCATGCTAAGTGAAAAGAAGCCAATCGCAAAAGAGCACATATTATATGGTTCTATTCATGGGAAATGTTCAGAATAGACAAATCTATAAAGACAAAGTAGATTCGTGGTTGCCTGTGACTGGGGGAGAGAGGAGGGAAGTGACTACTGATGTGGAGTTTTTGGCACGGTGGTGAAAATGTTCTAAGATAGATCGTGATGATGGTTGCACAACTCACAATACACTAAAACCACTTGAATTGTACACTTTAAATAGGTGACTTGTATGTGAATTATATCTCAACCAATCTATAATTTGTTTTAAAAATTAGAATCCTAATAGTACCTGCCTCGTAGGGCTGTGAAAAGTGGAAGTAATGTACATAAAATATTTAGCACATAGTAGGCACCAAGAAATGACAGTTATCATCATTGTTGTTTTATGAAAAAGAGACCTGGGAGAGCCGTGCCCAGCCTATCAGAGAGGCCTTGACCTTTGGACTCAAAAGTGGCAGGTCCACCCCCAATATACCCTTGACACCAAAGAAGCTTTCTCAGCTTGAAGGAGCTATATTGAAGTACCCCAAGTCAAGGGAACTGGACCAGATCTGGCCCTCCTGACCTCCTCCCTCCCCTTCCTGCCCCTCACCAGCCAGCCTCTTGTCAAGTGATCAGGCTGTCAACTAGCTTCTCTAGGCTAAGGTTTCAGGTCAGCTGGAGCATATAAGACCGGTGCCAAGGCAGAGACAGCAGAAACAACAGTAAATGGCAAGGAGGAGCCATCAGATCCCTGCTGCCACCTCCTGGGATGGAGTCCTAGGGAGCCCAGGTTCTTCCCCTGCCCTGGCTGGACTCACAGGTAAGACCCCTTCTCCCCTCTCCCCTCCTCCCTCTTTCTCCCTTCCTCTTGTTCTCCCTTTCATTGGAGCTCACGGGGAGCAACCAGCCACTCTCGGGGATCACTAGCTAGCGTGGCAGACCTGCTAGATTCAGTCCAGCCCCCACTTTAAGGTGAGGGAGCTGCCGGGCACTGTGACAGGGCTGGGACTTGAACCCACCACCTGTGTCACTCATCCAGGACTCCCCCCTTGCCCTGTGACTGCCTCTGGTGGCGTTTAGCACATCCCCACAGATAGAAAGTGGGTCTCTTTTTCAGCCGGCCCAGAATCTTTAGGATTCCTCCAGTGCAAAAAGCCCTCTCCCTGTGAGGATCCTGGAGCCCTTTTCCTGAGTGGAGAGTGGGGGCACCTGTGGCTTGAGGCCTGGCCCAGGTCGTATGCTGGGAGGGTTTTGGAGGCCATGGTCACTCTGCCCAGATGGCTTCCTCAGCAGGATGCTATGGAGGCTTTGCCGGGAAGGGGGAGTTGGAATTGGGAGGGCAATATGCTGTCAGGTAGGATGTCTCAGAAGGGGTCCTCTGACCAGTGCTCCAGAGCTGCCATGTGGAATTTCTTTTTATTCATTTTTAAATGTTTATTACATAGAGATAGGGTCTCACTATGCAGCCCAGGCTGGTCTCAGATTCTTGGCCTCAAGCAATCCTCTGCTTCAGCCTCCCAGAGTGCCAGGATTTTGTTTCTAATGCAGATTCCTGGGCCACACCTCAGACCTGAATCAGGATTTCTGGGGCTGAAGGCCAAGAATCCACTCTGTAAACAGCTCAAGGGATCCTGAAGTCTGAGTCTCTGTGGGCAACAGCACAGGCACAGATTCAGGTGTCAGACAGACCTGGGCGCCAATCCCAGATCTGTCACTGCAGCTAGGGACCTCGAAGCCTCGGGTCCCTAGCTTACGAAGTGGGAATAATTAAGCACAACCGCCTTATAGCCTTATAAAGGGATGGAGTTCGTCAGTGTCTATAAAGCCCTCCACACTGTGCCTGGTGCAGGAAGCACTCAGCAAATGTTAATGGGCCATGCAAGATAGCACACCCTGTCCCTCGAGCACCCCAACAGAGCTTCAAGGATGAGGATTCCACTTTTGACTTACCCTCTTCCGGCCAGTGGCAAGAGCTGCTGGTGACTAGGGCTCCAAGGGAGGGTAGAGTGAAGGGGGAAGGAGTTTGGGAGCACTGGTCTCAGAGCAGCCCCTACCTGTGCCCACCACCGTGGCCTCCCTTCCTCCCCCAACTTGACCACTGAAAGTTCTAGAGCCTTCTCCCCAAGATGACCTGACTCCATTCCCATCCATTCCATTTCCTCTGGGTGCCTCAGGGCTGCCCTTGGAATAGGCTCCAACTTCACCCCTGGCCACTGCTCTAGGCCAAGTTCAGGCTTCAATACCTCTTGTGGGCACCATTCCAACCACTCCTCACTGATCTCTGAACCTCCATTCTCTCCCTTCCAGTCCATCTTCCACACCTGAACCAGCATGCTCTGAACACAGTGTTACACCCCTACTTGAAAACCACCAGCCACTCTCCCCATCTCACTAGATGAAGAATAACCCCAGCGCTCAAGGCCCTCTACCAAAGGCCCCTGCGTTAGTCTCTGGTCTCATTTTCTACTTCCCCACTTAAGGAAGTAGTTTTTCCCAGTGCCAGGCTTCAGGGAGGAGTAGGATAAGGACAAGTAGATCCTTTCCCTATCTTTGGGGCTCCCCATCTAGTGGAGAAACATTTTGCAGTTAATGAGCTAATTCTACAGGAGGGTGTGGGGTCTGAGGTAACTGGGGACAAAGTTGGTTCAGAAGGGAAGCTCTGCCTGATGGTTCAGCCCTCCAGCCAGGAAGAACAGGCTTCCCCAGGGAGCCAGACCCAGCCACAGCAGGAGGCAAATCTTGTGAAGTGCTCCTCTCAGGGCCTGGCCCAGCACAAACACTCCACACCAAGTGGCCTCTGGAGCCACACAACCCTGCTGGGAGTCCCACCTCTGCTCACTGTGTGATCCCAGACAGGTCATTTCACTGTCTGGGCCTCAGCTTGTAACCCTGAAAGTGAAGTAAAAATACCTAGCTGGACAGGTTCTTTTCTTAAAGCCTTGGGTGGCCCCCAAAGGTTTTGATGAAGGGACATTCCTACAACCCCTGAAAGACACTGGAAGACACGAGCCCAAAAGGTCCTCCCCAACTCCAAGAGCCAGATTCTCATTTGTGATGCGGTGGTCCCAAGCATCTCAGCTCACTTTGGAGGAGAGGATGGCAGGAGGAACGCCAGGGTCTGGGAGAGAGAGGCTACCAGGATGCAGGCACTGCAAGAAGCAGCTGCTCCCACCAGGGGCATGAGCCCAGTGCCTGGCAGCTGCTGGTCTTCTGTAGGGCAAAGGGTAGTGGGGAAGGAAGCTGAGGAGGACGGGTGAAGCCGAGGAGGACGGGTCCCCCGGCACGCCTACAGAGCTGTCTCCTTGGCCAGGCTCAGCTCCCGACCCCTGGGCCTCTGCACCACCTTCCCAAAGGCCCCTCTTGGGCCCTTCTCAGAGTGCAACTCAGAAAGGCAGGAGGACTGGCTGAGGGAGGAACAGTGGAGAAGCCGGGGCCTGACTGTGCCCACCTGCACAGAGCTCAGTCCCTCTGGGCAGTGATTCCCACCCAGGCTTCCTCACCAAGCTCTTACTCCAGATACTAGGCACTTAATTCCTCATGGATGAGTTTTTACATATCATTTAGATACTGCTAAGGGTTTTGAATGCCCTCAATAAAAGGTTAGACCGTTGGTTCACACTACCACATCAACATGTTTGGTTTTGTTTTAAGTATAGTAAGACTTATATGCAGGCAGCCTTGGAAAAATAAAAAAGTCTTCGTCCACAATGAAAAACAGTTTCGTCGAGTCATGAGGAATGTTTATTTCATATTTGAGAGGGAAGGATTGTGAGTGATGAGATTCGGCAGACTTTGCACACCTCAGGGAGCAGGACTAGCAGAGAAGGCCTCTCACACTGGGGAGAACAGGAGGTGTGTAGAGTCAGAACTAGGTCTTGTCCTTGCCTGGGCCTCGGTTTCCTCATCTATGCAGTGGAGATACCACTACCAGCCTGGCCTGCCCATGGTATGGAGGGGAGGGAGACAGCAGCGGGGAGGATTGTGAAACAGGAGAGATGGGAATGTGACCTATTCTTAAAGGCCAAATTTACACAGCATAAGTGTGGCACTGTTCAGGCTTCTCACTCTCTAAAACCCCTCCTGGGTGCTGAGGGGTGCCTGGGGACAGACAGGCAACTGCCCCATCTGCCTCCTCCTGGCCTCTCTCCTGCAGCCTCCCCACTGTACTGAAGTCTGGGTGCAGAGCAGTCTCTCTCCTTGGCCTCCTCTGGGCCCTGAAGGAACCCTGGAGAGCCTTCTGGGACCATGGTGGGCCTGAAGCCTTCAGAGGTACCTCCCACGACCGCTGTGAAATTCCTGGGGGCGGGCACAGCAGGCTGTTTTGCCGACCTCCTCACCTTTCCACTGGACACAGCCAAGGTCCGCCTGCAGGTAGGTACCCTTTGGCCAGGACTCGTTGTTCACATCAAAAGAGGGGCTAGCTCTCCACCACAGCCCCCACCATCTGCCAACATGCCCTTCCTCACACAGAACGTGGACAAGGCCACTTACTCCACTGCTTGGGGTCCTTCCTTGCCTCCTCCCTGTGGCCATCACCCAGGACAAAAAGCAAAGCTAAATTCCTTGGCATGGTGTGACAGGGCCCTTCCCCGCCTATGCCCTACTTTGTTAAAAAAAAAAAGTGTGAGGTAAATGTAAGGGATTAATTGTGCGACCTTGCACAAGCCACCAACCATTCCCAAAATGGGAAAAGCACCTGGCACGGTGGCTCACACCTGTAATCCCAGCACTTTCAGAGGCCAAGGCCGGAGGATCACTTAAGCCCAGGAGTTCAAGACCAGCCTGAGCAATAGTGAAACCTCGACTCTAAGCTAAATAAATAAAAATGATTTATTGATTTATTTATTTTTATTTATTTATTTTTTTTTTTGAGTTGGAGTCTAACTCTGTCGCCCAGACTGGAGTGCAGTGGCCACCCCCAGCCACCGCAGCCTCGACCTGCTGGGCTCCGGCGAGCCTTCTGCCTCAGCCTTCCGAGTAGCTGGAATTCCAGGCATGCACTACCACGCCCAGCTGATTTTTTATTTATTGTAGAGATGAGGTCTCGCTGCCCAGGCGGGTCTCGAACCTGCGGGCTCAGGCAATCCACTCACCTCAGCCTCCCAAAGGCGCAGGATTACAGACTGAGCCACCAAGCCCAGCCAATAAAAATGATTTAAATAAATAGGGAAAAGTGATCTGTCCCCCTGAGAATCAGATGCCACACCATGTGTGTAGACTGTTGCTTTTGTGAACGGCAAACTGCTGCACAAAACCTCAGCCGTTTTTACTGTGACATGATAACTGTGATCGCCATGCTTGTTCCCAGGTCCAGCCCAGGTGGGTCCCTGGGCACACGACTCCTTCCCACGCGCACACTCAGTTCTTCATTCACTGTGGTTGTCTCTCAGATCCAGGGGGAGAATCAGGCGGCCCAGGCAGCCCGGCAAGTGCGATACCATGGCGTGCTGGGCACCATCTTGACCATGGTGCGCACCGAGGGCCCCCGCAGCCCCTACAATGGGCTGGTCGCCGGCCTGCAGCGCCAGATGAGTTTCGCTTCCATCCGCATTGGCCTCTACGACTCCGTCAAGCAGTTCTACACCCCCAAGGGGGCGGACCGTGAGTGCCAGGTTTCCCGTGGACACCAAGAGGGTGGGCAGAAGTATGTCACAAGACCAGGGCAGTCCTGACTCGGCGCTGGGGGGGGTGGGGAAGCTGGTGACAGACATTCTTGGGGAGACTCTGAGAGGCAGTCAGGGAAGCCACAGACCCTAACCCAGGAAAAGAGCACAAGCCCTGGGCAGGGGCAGCCCCATAGAGAATAGCATCATCCCAGAGAACTGCTGAGCGCAAGACACTGGCCCAATCTCTCTGCTTCTCTCAGACACCAGCATCACTACCCGGATTTTGGCCGGCTGCACCACGGGGGCCATGGCGGTAACCTGTGCCCAGCCCACGGATGTGGTGAAGGTTCGATTTCAGGCCAGCGTGCACCTCGGGCCTGGGAGTGACCGGAAATACAGCGGGACTATGGATGCCTACAGAACCATCGCCAGGGAAGAAGGGGTCAGGGGCCTGTGGAAAGGTAGGTCTGGGCTCCAGGCTCCCGGGCCTTAGGCTGGGCTTTCCTTCCCTTCAGGCTGGGGCACGGAACCCAGCAAAGGAGGAACTCCTGCATGGTGGGCCAAAAATGCCTCCCTGACCTGCCACCATGCCTCAAGTTCAATTCACTTTGCCGTCTCTCCATGATGTGTAGGCTGCTGCCAGAGACACAGAAATGAATATGACTTCTTCCACACCCTCAGGGCACTTATGGACAGCCGGACAGCCGGGGAGAAATGTCAAGGAGCTCCTTCAGCCAGGCAGGACATACTAGGCCAGAGGTGTAGATCCAGGGGTAGACCATGTAGACCATGGCGGCTCTGCAGGACTTCAAAGGCTAAGCAGGCCCTGGGTGTGTGGAGAAGGAGGGGAAGAGCCTTCAAGCAGGACAGAGGAAAAAAAAAGCACGACTGTGAAGATTCGGGCTCAGAGAGATGCAGTGAGGAAAGGGCTTCCTTGGGAGCAAAACCTTTAGGGTTGCCTATGTATCTATGCGGAGGAAACAGTGAGCCAGTGACATTTAAGGGCAGGATACCTGGGTCATAGCCCCAGTTCTGCACTCACTTGCTTGTCCCCTTATCTGTGAAGCCAGGGAGGGTGTTGATCTTGACACTGTCCTAGGGCCCTGCTAGTGCTCATTCTATCATTCTATCAAGAGTCCAGCCCCCCTCTTCCAAAGAATGATGAATGACTCCCTTTTCTGGCTGCAGCTGGGTCTCAGGGAGGTACATTTTAATGTTGACCATTATTATAGATTGTCCACCAAAATGTGGCCAAATAAACACAAGTAGGCCTCTGTGTTTTCTTTCTCTGAGGAAATCATGGATACTCTGAGAGTAGTTAACCCTAAAAAGGGAAGCGTGGAATCTGTTCGGCTGGGGTGGGCTCCTCTGACTGGGACCACTGGGATGGGGCACTATGCCCCCCCAACTGGGGGCTGTGGCCTTGTAGCCAGGGCGTGCACCTCTCCTGTTCCCCATTCATCGCCCCCTGCTGCTGCCTTCCTAACAGGAACTTTGCCCAACATCACAAGGAATGCCATCGTCAACTGTGCCGAGATGGTGACCTATGACATCATCAAAGAGAAGCTGCTGGACCATCACCTGCTCACTGGTGAGGCCCTGGGCTCCAGGCAGGCGGTCCCCTCTCGGTAGGGAGGGAACCCAGAACTCCACAGACTGGGTACCACCCAGAGGCAGCTGGGTTATAGAAAGAGTAGAGGACTGGATACAGTGGCCCATGCCTATAATCCCAGCACTTTGGGAGGCTGAGGCGGAAGGATTGCTTGAGCCCAGAAGTTCAAGATTAGCCTAGACAACATAGCAAGACCTCATCTCTCTAAAAAAAAAAAATCAGCTGGGCATGGTGACACGGCCTATAGTCCTAGCTACTCAGGAGGCTAAGGCAGAAGGATGACTTAAGTCCAGGAGGTTGAGGCTACAGTGAACCATGAGAAAGAAAAAAAAGGAGTAGAAAGAGGAACAGTACCCAGTAAAATCTCCAGAACATCATTGTGACAAGTAGGAAAGACCCCTGGACTGGGAGGCTGGAGACCTAGGTGCCAGTCCCAGCACGACTTCTCATTTGTAGCTTTAAGCAAGGGTCTCTCACCCTCTCTGACTTCAGTCTCCTCCAACAAGGTAGTTGGGCTGGATGACTTTCCAGCTCTGGGACAGCCTCAGTCTGATTGCCAGTACTTACCAAGAGCTTAGCCCTCAGCATGGCACAAGATATGGAAAAAACTGTCTTTACGCCAAGGGGGTCAAGGAGGTATTGGGCATAAACAGTGAACATATGGAACAGAACACCAACGCACTCCTTGATATGTGCTGTTCCCTTCCCTTCCACAGACAACTTCCCCTGCCACTTTGTCTCTGCCTTTGGAGCCGGCTTCTGTGCCACAGTGGTGGCCTCCCCAGTGGATGTGGTGAAGACCCGGTATATGAACTCCCCCTCAGGCTGGTATCGCAGCCCCCTGGACTGTATGCTGAAGATGGTGGCCCAGGAGGGCCCTTCCGCCTTCTACAAGGGGTGAGCTTCCTCCTCCTGCCTCCAGCATTCCTACCCAGAGTGTTTGGGCTTCTTTCTTTTCTCATGTGGCTACCATGGGTCAATCTGGATGTGGTGGTGAACAGTGTGAATCTAAATGCCACAGAGGAGACATCTAAGGAACTATGGAAGAAAAAAAGTGAACCAAATCTGATTTGAAGTTAGGGAAGCCTTAATGAGAAAAAGGAGTCTAGGGATAGTTCAAATTACTTTCTGTCTCCAAACTGTTGGGGCAGGAGAGGAGGAAAGACGGTCAGTAATCCTGGATCTTTCCCTAACTATTGCCATGACCATTGGTCACCACCAATGGCAGCTGAAGTGCCTCGCTCACTGTTCCAACATATTCCATATTTTCTTGCTTCCGTGCCTCTGCACTTAACGTTCCCTCTGCATGGAATACCCTTCCCTCACCACCTATGGGCTCTGAATCTAGTCATCCTTCAAAGCTAGTGCAAACAACACCTCCTCCCTAACATGCTCAGGTATCAACTTTCCCTCGTCCCTGTGACCTTTGGCAATACCATTTTAATTGTAGAGACAGGTTCTTGCTTTGTTGTTCAGGCTGGTCTTGAACTCCTGGGCTCAAGCAATCTTCCTGCCTTGGCCTCCCAAAGTGTGGGATTACAGGCATTAGCCACTGCACCTAGCCCATGTAAGTTTTGTGATCATTACGATAGCTAGGTCACTATGCACTAGGCTTTGTGCTCAGCACTTCACATATATCATCTCTATAACCCCTGAACGGGGTGGTATTCTCCATATTTACCGAGGAAGAGATTGAGTCTCAGGAAAGTTGAGTAACTTGTCCAGATTCACAAGTCAAAGTGGCAGAACCGTGGCTCAAACCCAGACCACTGACACCATACCCAACATGTTTATCCTGCTGGCAAGCTGTTGATTTGGTCCTTCACCTCTCACTGCTGATGCCTTCAGCAGATAGATTTCTGGTGCCCGATGTTAGATTGACCCAAGAAGCAAACAGGAGATTCTCAGGCTTGGGAATGACATAACCCAACTGTATTTCAATTGACAGACTATTCTGGTAAGTGCCTTTATCATCACAGTCTTTAACCATAGCCATTTGTCTGGGTTAATTGTTTCACTTGTCCAACATTTACTGAACATTTGTGTGTGCCAGTCCTGTGCTATGCTTCCCTCAGAGAAGAGCAGATGACATTTGTTGAGCGTTTACTGATACTGGACCCTGTGCTGTGTGCAGTCCAGCATTAACTCATTTAATCTGCATGACAGCTTTGTAAGGCAGATACTGTTATTTTGCTCATTTTGCAGATGAGGAAACTGAGGCTCAGAAGATTAAGTAACGTGTCCAAGGTTGTAAAATTAGAAACTGATAGAGCAGCCTAGTATGGTGGCTCACGCTTGCAATCCCAGCACTTTGGGAGGCAGAGGCTAGAGGACTACCTGAGCTCAGGGGTCGAGACCAACCTGGACAACTTAGCGAGATCGCGTCTCTACAATAAATCAAAAAATTAGCTGGGCGTTGTGGCACGTACCTGTAGTTCCAGCTACTTGGAAGGCTGAGGCAGAAGGGTCGCCTGAGTCCTGCAGATTGAGGCTGCAGTGGCCGTGAGTGTACCACTGCGCTCCAGCCTGGGCGACAGAGTGAGACTCTAACTGAAAAAACAAGAAAGAAAGAAACTGGTAGAACTAGGATTTGAACCCAAGTCTGACTCCAGAGTTCACATTTGTTGCCACAATGCTCTGGTCCCTGTGAAGGTCAGGAAAGGCCATGGCATGAGGATCTGGTGCGCAAGCTGAGTCCTCCAGAGCAAAGAGCAATCAGCCAGGCAAAGAAGGGAGCAGGAGACATTCCAAGCAGAGGGCGCATAGGAGCAAAGGCAGGGAGGTGAGAGGGAACTGTAACTAGCTGAGTCTGCCAGGAGCAAAAGGCCCGAAGGGTGATTAGCGGAGAGAGGTTGAAAGGAAGGCAGAGGCCAGGTCACAGACTCCTCCTTGAGTCTGTGAGGCACAGATGAGGTGGGGACACTCTCCCTGTGGCACCATCACAGCACAGGCAGGCTTCCTAGAGATGAGTTAAATTTGCCGCCACACTGTCTTCACCCTGCGGTGCCCCAGCTTCTCAGTGTCCTGGCAGGGGGCCTCCTGGGGGAGGGTGGCTACTCTAGATGTAAATGAGCTGAAACAGCAGGGTACAGTCAGGTGAACAGCTCATTTGAACCCTGTCTGACACTAGCTGTGTGGTTTTGGTTGAACTTCTTCACCTCCCTGAGCCTCAGTTTCTGAAAAATAACCCACGGCACTCATAGCTGCCTTACAGAATTGGGAGAATGAACTGCCTGACACAGTCACCTGGCTTAGAATGTTTGTTTTCTTTCCTTTCCTGAATCCAACGTCTGCCTAAATTCCCTCAGCAGAGAAGACAAAGACTGAAAGGATCTCAGAAAATGCTGTGGCAAACAGAAGTCTAAGTCCTTTGG